ACCTTTGCCACTGTGGTTAGGCCGGCGCAGATCAGTCCGCACTAGGCTAGCTCCTGCCTCCGGCTGCCGGCGCACGATTTGGTCTTGGTTTCCGGCAAGGGAGCCTTGCTCTGCTCAGCCCAGCATGGTGCCGGAACACTCGACGGTTTCAACCGAGATCTGTTCGTTTGGAGAAACTGATTCAGTTGGGCCCTTGAAATTTTTGCCTCTGTTGCTGCCAACAATGGATGCATCTGACATGCTCCTGCTCTAGCAAACTAGCTAGCTAAGCTTGGTTTACGCACGACCGAAGCATTAGGGCATTATGGGAATCACTGTAGCTATAGCACCATTAGTAGATTCTCCGGTTAGTTTTGGCACTTCTCCATCTGAAACATTCTTCCCTTTATTGCTTGCATCTTACTACCTTTGTATCACAAGTGGGAGTGCTTGAAATCTCTAAAATGTTAATTAATTGCTACAAATATGCAAAGCGGCGCATGACTACCATTGCTTTCATCTTTTGGTGATAATACAGTCTCTGTATTCGCACCGAAACAGCAACGGTGTGAACTAAAATGTGTCGGTTTTTAACTTTGAGGCGTGTAAATAATCTCGAGTTGGATTCGACCTGATTGCTATTTGTGCAGCCTCTATATGATTTGCACAGCTGACATGTTGTTTTTTTCCTTCATCCAGGGAAGCGAGTGCGAGTACCGTCACATCGATGCCGCCAGGGTGAACCCTAGGGACTGCTGGTATTGGTTCAACGGCAACTATGCGAACCCTAAATGTTCATTTAGGCACCCGGTACGACCTCCTCTGTTCCATCTTTTCAGTCAAAAGTCACTGCAGTTTTGTTCTATTTAGTGCTTCAGTTAAATAGACCAATGCTTTAATCATGGTAAGTGATTTTGGTGTAGCACAACATATTTTGAGAGCCAAGAATTATATTTATGTTTGATCCATCTAGCTTATGACATCCTGAATATCGGTGGCACAGGTTTCAGAACCATTGGGTATTGGTCAAACTTTTCTGGTCTCGCAGTAGCTGCTCCAGAAAACTTGCATTCAGTACCATCGGACTCTACAACCAATGATATAGAGCTCCATGGTGTTATATGGCCTGGTCAGATTGCTGAGAAACCTTGTTGTTGGGTGTTTCTGTATCATGGAAAATTTGTAAGGATTGGAGTACCTCTGCGTACAAGCTACAATGGGCCTGATCGATAAAGGGTTTTTCAGTTGATGGTTTCAAATCTGCAACAAGCTTGATGCCTTACCCCATGGGATGCAGTCTTGTTTTATTTGGAGATGGATTGAAAATCCGAGCTACAGTGACCTTGTACAAAAGGTGACCGAAAATATGAGTAACATCTCCATATCACCGAGTCTGAAAAACTACTGTACTATCTTTATTTTGATTGTATCCATTTGTTCTTAGAGGACTTCACTGGATCTGTTACAGTTTTAGTTGAATGTTTGTGTCCTTCCGGCATATATCGTTCTTGGTTTGACCAGTCTCCATCCATGTCCAGGCTGTTATAAATGACAAAATATTGCAAATATTTTAATAGCTCCATGCCAACACATACCTCAATGGAATATTTGCAACTTTTCCAATGTATATTCTATTTTCTTTATGCATTACCAGTATTCAAGATTATTTTGGAAATTAATTTCATTGCAAACTTATTGAGTTAATGTTGAGCATATTCTTATGCCTTGTGCTAATAGGCATATTCACTTCCGTTACAAGTGTAGAGGTCCATGCCAACAACCCCAACACTTCTCAAATTATTTTCCAGTAATTGACATTCCAGGTTAGTACTTTTCAGTATCGGTCATCTGTTTGAACTGCTACATTTTTTGTCTGCGGATTATCAAAGTTCTTGTTTGAAGAGCTTGTAGTCTGGATGCTAAGGCATTCACACATTCTTACATGTGAATTTCTGTGTTGGTGTTACACTCTCTAATTATTCCTTTGGCAATGCTTTTTGGTTATCTTTTCTTTAGCAAACCTGGTTCAAGCATATTTTATTAACTTCTTGTTGCTTTCATGTTTTTTGGTTAACTGAATTGATTTCTGTCAAGATGGATGTGTAATAAGATATTAAGATATTAAGTACTTTGATCATTTATTGTTGTAATGATTGCATTTCCATGAAGAGCTTTGGAGCTCAAATATTGCGCCTCTCTATTATGATTGCTTAAGATGTACATTTCTAGAAGAAAGCTACATAAATCAGAAATCAGTGGATGGTATCAACCAAACCGTCACAACTTAAGAATACATGCCCTTTCATATAAAGCGCAACTGTACAAAAGCTACTTTCTTATATTATTTGATCTTGAAAACTAGAATTAGTCCTATTCTCTTACCAGGCATGTCATTGTTCACACTTTTGATACTCGCGGCACTTTTGACCCCACCCAGTTCATTCTTTGTGAACTTTCATATAAAGCGGAGTCTTCTCCCTAAACAATTATGCATTAAACGCTCATGAACATGCTTTAATCAAGTTCCAGATTGTTGAGGACTTTGAGGAAGCATTGGTGGAAAGCCGAGGATTTAGATTTCAGTCGTGGCTTGCCGCTGAAAGGTAATTATTGGAACGAACAAGGTGTACTTCATGCACATGATAAGTTATATTGAACAGCTATCTCTATGATTCCATTCTATGGGATGAGGTTTGTGCTGCTGGTGGGAGCGGCGAGCTGCTAAAGCAAGCAGTAGCGGCAAGACCTGGGTGACTCACAAGGCCGCTGATGACATCCCTCTCCCTATGTTTCTGCTGCTGATGACATCTTCTACAACCTCTACTACGTAGCATCATCTATCAGACTTTTCTTGTTTGAAACTCTGACAAGTTTTACAATGGGGTTGATTGATGTTGCGGGCTCATTGGTGACAACCAAGGAATCATGCTCGGAAAGGACTCTGTTTCATCGGCTCAACTAGGGGAGATCATGTGTATTTCCTCTGCAAAAGAGTATAGATCTTCTATTGTCTGTTACATAAATCAGAGTGTAAATCTTCTCTATTGTTACTTGATTGTCTATTACTTAACTGATGATTGTTTCCGGCATTTAAAGACATGATCACACACATGAATGTATCTAAATCTCATATGGTATGAAGCATTTCAACTGTGATTACAAAGCACCTTTCCAATTTAGGGATTTTTTTTATAAATAATTGTTACCTAACTAGATTAATGATAAAATTTCTTTTAAGATTTCACTCGTGCGTTGCACGTGCACACTTACTAGTTTTTTTTAAGTCTCAATCTTATCAAAATTTGAGAACGACTAATTAAAGGGCGTGCCCCCATAGGGAACACCACGAGGGGCGCGGCAAGGCGTGGAAGGGCTCGAGGGAGCGGCTCGTGGAGTGCTTGGCTTTCAACGATGACACCTTTTTTTTCCGTGATCCTTTTTCCGGTGTTTTCTTCTCTTTAGGGTCTTTCTTGGTTTTCCTTTTTTTTTTCCTTTTTTTTCTGTCTAGTTTTCTTAGGCTGTCACGTGTACAACACGGATGTATGTGTGCATGTTGCTATGCGTGAGGACATGTTGTGCAACGCGTGGAGTACAAGTTCGCTGGGATGTTAAGGATTTAGTCACATGGGGATGTTAAGGATTTATGCTACACGAGGAGTAAAAGTGCATAGGCGGACACTCTCTCACTTGCAGGAAAGGAAGCCATGATTAAAGCTATTGCCCAAGCCTTTCCAACCTATATAATGGGGGTCTTTAAACTACCCATGTCATTCTGCGACGACTTGAGAGAATGGTACGGAATTTCTGGTGGGGCTCGGCGGAGGGCAAGAGGAACACGCATTGGTTGGCATGACCGAAAAATTTAGCACAAGACCAAGGGAGGCTTGGGCTTCAAAGATTTCCGTCTCTTCAACCAAGCTCTCCTTGCTCGACAGACATGGCGCCTGTTAATTAAGCCTAACAGTCTATGTGCGCAGGTACTAAAAGCTCGGTACTATCCAGATGGTCGCCTTGAGGACATAGTGTTCTCGGGGAACGCATCCTCGACCTGGCAGGCCATACAGTATGGCCTCGAGCTCTTGAAAAAGGGCATCATATGGCGTGTTGGAGACGGAAAAAACATCGGATATGGCGCAACCGATGGGTGCCGAGGGAACCCTCGTGCCAACCTATCACGCAGCAAGGCACCTGCCGGCTGAGGAGAGTGGCGGAGCTTCTCGCGGCGGATGGGTCCTGGCGTATGGATCTTCTCCACAGATACTTCCTCCCGGCGGACGTCGTTCCGATATCCAGCATCCGCACCTCACCACGCTGCACCAACGACATCATCGCATGGGCACCAGAGAAGAACAGTATCTTCACCGTTCGTTCCGCCTATCGGTTTGCCATGGACGAGTGCGGGCGTCCATTGGCCACCGCCATGACCAGGGCATCGGATGGTCGTCGCGCCATCTGGAAGACCATATGGGGGCGCCCTGCTCCCCCGAAGGTACGCGTGTTTGCTTGGCGGATTCTGACCAACTCTCTAGCTACTTGGGCAAATAAATTCTTACGTCATCTTGAGCTTTCTGACATATGCCCAATTTGTGGTGTGGAACGAGAGGATGTGTTCCATGCGATGTGCAGGTGCCCCCTTGTGAAGGAACTTTGGCATGCGATGACGCTGGATTGGGTCATCCCGAGGGTTGAATCCGTTCACAACACAGGGCCAGAATGGTTGTTCACCCTCTTTGAGCCTTTGGATGAGACGACGCGTATGATCGTACTGATGATCACGTGGAGGACTTGGCACGTGCGGAATGAGATCACGCATGAAAAACGGCCACCTCCAGCTGAGTCCTCTCGGCGGTTCCTACATGAATATATCAGCTCTTTATTATGCCTCAAGCAGTACCCCAATGGTGATGTTGTGAAGGGGAAAATGGTGATCAAATGATGCGCCACCAGCACGTACAGCCAACACCCTAGCTAAAGAGGAGCCGAGCTGTGTTGTTCCTGCTACAGGATGGACCAAGTTGAACATGGACGGAAGCTTCATATCGGCTACAGGTATGGCAGGAGGTGGGATGATCCTCCGGGACACTCAGGGAAACATCATATTTAGCGCTTGTCGTGAACTCCGTACATGTGGTAACGCGCTGGGGGCCGAGCTCGCGGCGTGTAGGGAGGGGCTGGAGCTAGCCCTTCACCGGATGACGCTGCCAATTTCAGTAGAACTAGATAGTTCCGAGGCAGTGTCGTTGATCATAGCAAAATCCGATGATAGATCAGTACATCGCTTTGTGATCCAGGAGATTAAAAGCTTGGCCTCAACTAAGGATAGGGAGATTTCTTTTACTCTTTGTCGTCGTTCGCAGAATAAGGTTAGCCATGAACATGCCGCTTATGACCGTAGTACCCTCCGAACCGCAGTGTGGTTGTACTCGGGGTTAGACTTTATTGTAAACTTGGTTGTGGCTGAGAGGCCCCCGTGAGTAATGAGAATCTCCTTTACCCGGCAACAAAAAAAGTGCACTACGGTTTCTGGGAAGTACACGTGCACAAGGGAGCATAGGTGGTACAAGTTTCACTACATGCGAGTACACCAGGTGTGAAAAGTAAAATTATGCTACCGTGTGAAGTAAATGTATGTTGTAGCGGAAGTAGTACAAGTTTATTATTGTTCGAAGTACAAAGTTACGTCCCAAAAAGAGTTCGATGAAACCTATGCACATGGATCTACTTTTGAAGATATGGACATGAGTAACACAACGGTGAAAATATATGTAATTTGAATGCTCGATTCAAGAGATATTTTGATTTGAAATTTGGATCTTCTGTTTTTGATGGAAAGTGATGGAATGATGTGCAACTTTTGTTCCGGACTGAATATCAAGTGCTATCTGTTTCAAACTGTGGAGCATTAATTTGATGGATGTCCTAAGATTGAACTTGTTCTAAAGAAAAATTGTGTGGTAGATGGTGGTATTCTCCTTTATAAATATATGGTGAAATTTAGAAGAATCTTAACTGACCACACAACTCTATGTAAGTGTGATCTTATTCTGAATCAACGGGAGTAGTATGGATCGATATACAATCTTTGGCCCGTGCTAGACAAGAATGAAGAACAAAAATAGCAACCACTCTACCAAATTTTTTATCTAGGCATAATAAAAAAAAGTAAATATGGACCGGCAGTGTGTTTGACTTTGACCTGTTGACTTATAAAGTATGCTTTGTCAATTCAGTCCATATGATCAAGCGTCAAGTAGAACAAAATTATGTTTTGTCCTTTACCAGTCACGGAAAGTAGACATCAACCATGACACGACACATTAAACTATGCAACTGGATACCTGAAAGGAACAGAAAGGATATCTGCTCCCCTAAAAAAGGAAAAAAAGAAGGAAAAGATATCTGCTGTAGTACGATAGACGTGTTCGCACCGCGAAATTTCTTGGGATCGTCGCATAAATGGAAGAGTCAAACCAACTGGAGTGATGTCGCTTACCGGAGACAGCATCTTCAGCGGCGGCGACGGCGGCGGCGTTGCTCCGGCTGTCTGGTCCATCTTCGGCTTTGGCGGTGTAGCTACGAATTAAGCGACAGCAGAACCCAACATGCAGGTGTGAATTAAGCTTAAACGAATAGTAGTAGCGAAACATCGATATGGAATCCGTGGTGCTCACCTTCCACGTCGACGTCCAGCTGGTTAGCGCGCACGATTCTTGAGGCTTGGGTTTTGCGTTCCTCTTCCATGGCCGCGACCGTGCGTTAACACCTCCTGGCTAGTCCCCCCTCTGCAATTAGCAGAATCGCACCATCCTTTTAGCATTTTTAAAGAATTGTTCAATTATAACTTCATAAGGAACCCCACAAAGACACGTAATTTGATCTGCAGGGGTTAATTTGATCTAGTTGCATCCAGCACAGGTTTCGGTGCACCAGTTCGGTTGAGAGAGAAGGATCTCCCTTTTTTTTGAAACTTTAGTTATATTTAGATAGAAGAAGAAGAAGAAGAAGAAGAGGACGAGGATGACAAAGAGGAGGAGAAGGGAGGAGGAGGAGGAGAGAGGGATATCATCCATTAGCATGGCTGGTAGCACACACTGTAGTATCAAACTAAGTTAACCACAAATTTGGTATCCATTGGTTGATTTGCAGAAATCAAACCCAGAAGATGCAGCAAGATGCAAGCAGCACAAACGACGGAAGATAAGCGAGGCATGAAAGAACCAAACTTCTTCCTGTTTAGGACTAGCACTACAATAACTAGCCCCCACCATCCTAGATTCTTGCAGGTAGCAAATCAAGCCAGAGGAAAACACAACCCCAAGACTCATAAGAAGAAAACAACAAACCTCAATCGAGGCGAGATCCGCAATCATGCACGAACTAGGAAAAAGATGTGAATCAACTTGAAACAAACAACAGCATAGACCAAGAAGAAGAAGAAGAAGAAGAAGAAGAAGAAGAAGATCTTGATCCAACCAAATCAGGGGGAAAGGGAAGAGAAACATGATCCCTCTCACCTAAGTCGCCTGCGTTGGAATGGAACGGAACGGTTGATTTGGGAGCGCAGGCTCTTGGACGAGTTGTTATGAGCTGAGATGAAGGGGCAAGAGGGGAAATGAAATAGAGCATGTGAACTGTTTATGCGCGTATTCTATGCTGACTCTGCTAGTTACTTGGCGCGTTTCAAGTGTGAAATGAAGTGCCTCCACTCTCCGCTCTCCTGTTATCCCCTGTAAATCACACGAACCTTGGAACAAATCTGATGGCGCTGGCGTCATGGGCACGTGTACATCTGCCGCAAAGAAAAGGGGGTACGTGTACATCTCATCCTATGCAAATGTTATAGCTTAGAATTGAACGTAATTGTTGCTAACACGATTAAATGAGAAAATCACACCTCTCTTCCGGGTGCTGCTGTGTCGGCCTAAATATGCTATCTAGACGTATGCCATCATTCAAGTGAGACCAACTCTTCTTTCTTCTTATGCAGATGCAGGTGGTCAAGCCTACTTTTCCAAAGAAATTCCCTTTCTCTTTTTCTTGGCCATACGAATACCAGAGGCTGGTAGAATTCCGTCCTGGCCGTGATAGCGGCATTACGTTATCTTACTTATTTCTTGGCAACCAGCTCGCCTCTTGACGCCTATTATTCACATGAGCAGGATGACACATTCTTAGGGCTCTAAACTGAACACCACATTCGTCCGTGTCCTTGAGGGACCAGTCCGTGGATATTGATGCACGAACCGGCTATCTAACCGTAGCCGCATACATTTTAAACCGGATCGAAATAAACCAGACAAATTACATGCAAACCAAATGATTTTTATATAAACCAAACAAAAATATTTACATTTTGGAAATGTTTCAAGTAAATTATAGCGGACTAGGCTAAGCTATTCTAACCTAGTCTATGGTTGACCGCGGCGGAGCGCCATTTCCACGATATGTGTCGTGGAATAGTCACGGTAGATGTCCTAACGTAAGGACTTAGTCGTGGAGCCATCGCAACTAGATTAGCTTAAAGGGGTTAAACGGGACAAAGACACAAGAGTTTATACTGGTTCAACCCCTTGTGGTGAAGGTAAAGGCCTTATCCAGTTTGAGGTGGTATTGCTTATGTCTCGATTACCAGGGAGCGAATACGCTTGACCTATCTTTCGATCTCTTGTTTCTTGCCCTGAACCGCTGCCTGGTCGTCCCTTTATATACACAGGTTGACGCCCAGCGGCTCACGGAGTCCCGGCCGACTCATAGACAACGTGTCCGGCTCGGCGACTAACTATACATGCCTTACAATATAAGTTATACATATATGGCGGTTTACCACTATGGGCCTTAAGTCGCCCTTGGGCCTTGGACCCTTGCCTGTGAACCGCCATCATCAGTATCCTCATGGGCTTCATATTGATAAACCACCATAGGTATAACCCGGCCCCTCCTGGGCGGGTCATACCTAATAGTTATATCCCCAACATTAGGCCCCAGGTTGATTTGAACTTGTTCATGTCAATCTTCAACACTTAGGAAAAATCTTTCCTTCTTCATTTGTGCGAGAACTCATAACCCGCCACGACGTCACATCCTGGGATTGTGGTAACCCGCCATGACGTCATCTACCATTTAATTTTACACAATATCCAACATATGTTAACGGATCCTTATCTTTAATGACATTTTCAAAAATCGAGGCGTTCGCACCGCTAGATAATCATTCCTTTGACCTCCTTGTTTTTCGCGCCTACCTGTTCACTCTCCTCCTTATAAATAGGGCCTGACAACCTTTTTTCATTCTCCCCCCTTTCCTTCTCATCTTCCGCCTCCTCTCGCGACTCATCTGTCACTTCGAGCTCCGCCGCCGCCGCGAAGCTCACCGTCCTCCTCGCTCTTGGCCGCTGCATCGACCTGAACAGGACCAGAGAATGCCGGCGCTCCATCGCAGTCTCATCTGCATCTGTAAGTGCTCACCTTCCTATGTTCCAGATCCGCATTAGGGTTAGTCTGTTCTTTGTTGTTCTTCACCGTTCTTCGCTGTTCTCCGCTTCCTCTTCAACCCTAGTAGTTTTTGATCTGAATATAGCATATCACTCGCGGGGTAGCAGTTTAGCTCTTGCTTTTAATGCCAGCAGACCTTTTCCTTCATAGAAGATCTCACCAGCGCCCATGAACTCCTCTGTTGCCGTTTAGGTTTAAGAATTTACTGCATTTTCTGAACTGCCACTGATCCAAAATTATAATTTCAATCCGTGAAATCTGTTTGTCCATTACTTAGCAAAATTTTCTTCCTGATGGATCGACCTGGCCATGGCGGCTTACATCACCAGCTGTAATTAGATTCAATACTTAACAAATTTCACTCTTGATAAATATCAATCTGGTCATGGCGGCTTACACCAGTTGTAGCTAGTCATATATCATTAGACCCGTTTTAAGCCGCCATTCTGAATACATGTTGTAGTGCTTTTACCTCCGGCTTAAATGAATCAACTTAAACCGGCAAAATTATTCCTTTTTAGGCTTCCTTCTTCATCATGCCGCCGAACACATCCACTTCCTGTAACTGGGTTCGCTCCATTGTCACTGAGGACACACTTAAGGACTTTGTAAAAACTGGCTATTTACCAGAAAAGACTGTCATGCATTATCGTGCCCCTGATCCAGAAGAAGAAAAACCTCAGCCAAAGGATGGTGAAGTCATTGTTTTTACTGATCACATGAACCGGGGCTTCTCACCGCCCGGTTCAAGAAAAATTCCGAGATGTTCTGCACTTCTTTGAACTTCATCCTCAAGATATTGGACCCAATTTCGTGTCAAATATCTGCAACTTCCAAGTGTTCTGTGAAGTATACCTTCAAGAGGAGCCCAGTGTCGAACTGTTCAGAGAATATTTTTATTTAAACCGCCAAAATGAGTTTACAAATGGACCCATCTTGGAACTTGGTGGAATCTCAATTCAACGAAGAAGAGATGCCATCT